GGTGTGGCTATATTATGGTATGAAACTTGGAAGCAATCTAAGAGTACAGATGCACCTCCAACTACTTGGAAAGAATTTAAAAAGGCGTTTCTTAATCATTATTTGCCATTGGAGATTCGAGAGGCCCGCACAGATCAGTTTTTAAATCTTCACCAAAGGGGTATGAACGTGAGAGAGTACAGTCTCAAATTTAATTCCTTGTCCAGGTATGCTCCCAATGTAGTTGCTACTAGGGTTGGCAGGTTATTATAGAAGGTTCGTTGAAGGATTTTCTTCTATTTTTTCACCTTTAACTAAGCTAACACACAAGACAACTAAGTTTCAGTGGAATGATGCATGTGAAAGAAGCTTACAAGAGCTGAAAAGTAGGCTAACTTCCGCACCTGTATTAGTACTTCCAGAAGGCACAGAGGGGTATACAATATATTGTGATGCTTCAGGGGTTGGTTTAGGATGTGTACTCACGCAGCATGGTAAAGTAATAGCTTATGCCTCAAGACAACTCCGGCCACATGAGAGAAACTACCCAACACATGATCTTGAACTAGCAGTGGTTGTATTTGCTTTAAAGATATGACGTCACTATTTATATGGGGTTGATGTTGACATATATACAGACCATAAAAGTTTGCAATACATTTTCAAGCAGAAGGATCTGAATTTGAGGCAGCGAAGATGGTTAGAGTTAATAAAAGATTATGACGTTGATATACTATACCATCCAGGGAAAGCAAACGTAGTAGCTGATGCTCTCAGTCGCAAGACAATATCAAGTATTAATGAGCAGACCATGGAAAAAGAAGGGATGGCGAAGGATCTACGTCAACTAGCTAGTTTGGGAGTTCGTCTTCTTGAAACCCCCAAAAAAGGAATAGTAGTGCATAATGCGGCAGAATCTTCATTAGTAGTTGAGGTGAAAGAGAAGCAGTTCAAAGATCTTACTCTACAACGACTCAAGGAGAAGGTAAATCAAGGTACGACAAAGGGATTTGAGCTTACACAAGATGGAGTACTTTGTTGTCAAAATAGATTGTGTGTACCTAATGTTAATGGGCTAAGAAGGAGGATAATGACAGAAGCACATCATTCAAGATATTCCATCCATCCGGGATCAACTAAAATGTACCATGACTTGAAAGGAGTGTATTGGTGGAGGGACATGAAGAAGGACATTGCAGAATTTGTGGCTCAATGTCCAAACTGCCAGCAAGTCAAAGTAGAGCACCAAAAAGCCGGGAGGTTATATGCAGTGTATGGAGCTTCCAACTTGGAAGTGGGACATGATAAACATGGATTTTGTCACTGGTTTGCCTCGCTCGTTTCGTAAGTTTGACTCCATATGGGTAATAGTTGATAGACTCACCAACTCAACACATTTCTCGCCAATTAAGACTGATTATACAACTAAAGAGTATACAAAGTTATATATTAAAGAGATAGTTCGGCTACACGGGGTTCCAATCTCTATTATATCTGATCGAGGAGCTTAATTCACTGCAAAGTTTTGGAAATCATTCCAAAAGAGTTTGGGAACACAAGTGAATTTGAGTACAACCTTCCACCCTCAAACAGATGGTCAAGCAGAATGCACAATCCAAACACTTGAGGATATGCTTCGAGCTTGTGTCTTAGACTTTAAAGGTAGCTGGGATGATCATTTGTCACTTATTGAGTTTGCCTACAATAATAGTTATCATTCTAGTATCAAAATGGCACCTTATGAAGCTTTATATGGAAGGAAGTGCAGATCACCAATTGGCTGGTTTGAAGTAGGCGAAACTGCTTTATTTGGACCAGACCTTGTTCTTCAAGCTATGGAAAAAGTTAAGGTGATACAACAACGGCTAGCAACAGCTCAAAGCCGACACAAATCATATGCAGATGTTAGAAGAAGAGGATTAGAGTTTTCTATAGGAGATTGGGTGTTCTTGAAAGTATCGCCAATGAAAGGGGTAATGAGATTTGGTAAAAAGGGAAAGTTGAGTCCACGCTACATAGGGCCATATAAGATTATTCGAAGAGTTGGCCAAGTTGCATATGAGTTAGAGCTACCTCAG